GAGAGAGAGAGAGAGAGAGAGAGAGAGAGAGAGAGAGAGAGAGGTTTATTAATAGATCTCTTCACCTCTCCTCTCCAATATAAGAATCTTCTCTGGGTGTTTTTGAAAAGATGACAGAATGTCAATATCAATAACTTCTACGTCAGGGTAGTGCAACCTCAGGGCTCCAAACGGCTGAGCCCTAAAAACATTCAGGCCAATCAAAAACACCTGTTATGAAAGGAAGCATGGCGTGACAGAGCTTTAGACAAGCAAACTTCAGAGTCACCAACCTGCAGGGCCTCTAGAAAGCGGAAGGACCCGAGCCGCCTGCCCCGAGGAACAAGGCAAAAACTGGAGTTGTGTAGCAGCTCTTGATAATCAAACCTGTGGACACAAACAAAAACACAACAAATAACATTAGAATCTGCCCATTAAAAAATCCATACAAAGACATCTTGTTTTACATTTGTTCGATTTCATTTTCATAAACTGTTACTGTCAATTTTAACCTTGAAAAATTATGAGACTGATTTACATACATGCACATACTCATACTTTTACACCAAATGCACACACAAGTGGCCAAAAGTGGGTGGGGCTAATGGTAAAAACAATCACCAATCAGCAATCATTCACGAGCATGTTCACAACCATTACTTTACTGTTCAACAAAATGCCAGTGGTTCTCTCTCTCTCTCTCTCTCTCTCTCTCTCTCTCTCTCTATATATATATATATATATATGTAATTAATTAATTAATTGCTATTTATTAATTTAAAAAAGAAAAATCTATTTCAAGTAACATAGTTCCTAACAGTTAACAGAGAAAAACATATATAGGTAATTTAAAAAACACAAAACAACAAACAAACAAATAAAAAAAATATATATTTTTTTCAATATTAACATTTGTTAAAAAAACTATTTCAGTCAGGCTAAGTATGCAATATGCTAAGTACGCAACATGCTGCTCACAATCATGCTGTTGTTCTGACTACAACCAAATCTCAGCTGTGCTGATATTCAGTACAACAGCACTCTTTCTCATTTGACATGGCTTAATTTGCCAGACGGTAGGCTTATTATGGTGACCAGACTTGGTATATTCATATCAGACAATGTGGTCACATGTGTAGGCGGTTATTTACAATGATGCAGCTCATCCAATCAGATCTTAGAGTCTGATGTTTTATTATATTTGTTCTGGCATATTATATTAGTACGACACAATAAACATACTGGGAGAGAAAAATCAAGATTAAGCTGAAGATAGAGGGATGAAAGTGAGAGATCCTGTTATTTGCTCTCTCCTTCTGTTCTGACAGTCAGCCTTAATCTGGCTAGAGCTCACTCTCCTCTGTTTAATTCTCTTATAATTACTGCCTCACTTTCTTTCTCTCCCTTTCTTTCTTCTATTATCACCATCCTGCATCAGCCATCCAGCCAATAAGTGGAAAATATGTTGTTCTTCTTCTGAACTTATTTTTCTCTTTCTGCCCATGTGAAGCAGGGTTATTACATTAGCATAACAAAAAACTGAAATAAAATATTTTTTTTCAGTTAGCTGCCAAGGCAACTTTTCTCATTTTTGTTTAATTTAAGTATAACTAAATATACTAAAATCTGCCAAATGCATAAACGTATAAAATGTAAAAATGAAAAAAAAAAAATAAAAAAAAAATAATAAAAACTATATAAGCATATTTAAACCAACAACAACAGCCAAAACAAATAAAAACTAATACAAAAATCACAACTAAAACTTTAATAAAAAAATCTAATTCAAAATATTAACAACGATTATTATAGTAAAATAACACTGATGTAAAGTGAGCAGATTTATTCTAGCAGGTGAGCATATTGATTGGTTAACACATTTTAAAATTTATTTGAAACTAAGATATCTGAAGTATGTCCAGAAAATACTGGATCAGGCAGTGTGTTGCTAAGTATATGCCAATATATGGATTGCTTTTGAATTCACGTTTGATGTCATCAAAATCAATTGGAGGATAGCATTAAAAATGATTGACAAGTCGGATTTGACAGTCCTGCTCTATAGCACGCTCTCAGAGGGTCATTCAGGAGCAATAAACACAATCTGTCTCTGTCATTCAGGTATTTGACTGCATTACTGATAGCCTCATGCTCACACACCTACACACATTCCTACTTACACATGCATACACATAGGCTACTGTAAACTCAAACACATTGAAATATTTGATTTGCTTTCACAAAGATACTGCCAAAAAGCTCTGCGTGCTGGTGGGTGGAAATCCCACACACAGTCGTGTTGTGTGCAGCACTTCCCTCAGTCTACAAACCTCACAAGAGTTCTGATCACAACAATTCTCCACAACTTGTAAGAATAAGGGTCTAGACATCTGAGATTGCTTGCCCTGCAAGTTTGTGCTGAAACTGTTGCTGCTAGAAGCAGCAGAGTTGTAAGAATCACTTTGGGACTTGTTTTCTCAAAGATCAAACCTCCTGGCCTCTTGCTGGGTCGAATAAGGGTCTCCAACAAGAAGATTGGACACAACCTTTCGCTAGACTGAAAATGCTATAACATTCTCTCTCATTCTCAGAAAAGGGAGTTGACAATTAATTAAAGCATAGTATAGCAATCAAATGAATTACATGGTGGTGTTAAGACCAAAAGTATTGCAACAAATAAAAATTTTACTTTTTGCCCAAGTTACTTTAGAGTGCAGACCGTCTTTATTTTTTTTTTGTCAAACATTTATTAAACCACACTGTTTTTCTTAATTGTACTGACATGTTCAATTAGCAGCCTAAGAAAAAACATAATATTTATTGAGCACCAACTAAATTTGAAATATAAATTAAGTAGAGAAAGAAAAATGCTTTTCAGTTGCTGGATGTGTTTGACCTCTTTTGTGCTCTGTAATTAATTGGAAAGCTTGACACAAAAAGTCAATGTGTTCTTCATACTTTGTGTGTAGAGAATAACCTTTGTTTGGACAAATTAACAAAGTGAGAAATACAAAGTAGTCATGTTCTGAACAGTGGGAAAGCTTTTTTTTTTTTTTTTACATTTGAAGCTATTTTAATACAGTAATGGGAACATCTTAATTAGACGTGTGTTCATTTAAAGGCGATTTCACGAATCCAGTCTATGAACTTCCGTTCACTCACCACCAGAGGTCACGTGCTCACTACATTGACTCTCACACCACACAGACTGTTACATGTCACTCCGGACTACAGTTCCCATCATCCATTGCACTGATTACACACACACAGCTGAATCCAATCAGACACGCTTTATAAGCCCTGGACTTCCTCGTTCAGATCGCCGAGTATTGTTTAGCACTTATCACTGTTCGTTGATAGCTATTTTACGGAGCCTGTTTATTGATTTCCTGTTTCATAGTCTAGCCTAGTCCTGTCATAGTTTTGCCTTGCCTGCTTTCCCGTGTTACCTGATTTTTGCCTGTTTATCTTGGATTAACCCTTTGCCTGCTGTTTCGGACTGTGTTTGCACCTCGCCTGTACTACTGCTCGTGTTATTGGATTTCTCCTCTTGTCAAGCCCTCTGGATAACGTTCGCTGTCTACTGACTCACGCCCGGTTTGGATTACTCTTTTGTCTTGCCCTCTATATACCTGTTTGCCATTGTCAGAACCTTGCCTGTTTTTATGACCACGCCTTTAAATAAAAGCTTTGCAGATGGTTCCGCACGTCTCACGTCTCGTTCGCCCCGTAACAGGCGACCACATGGCTAATGTTCCAAATGAGGATACAAATAATCAGGGTTGCCCAGGGAACCAAAAAAAAGTCACATCAATTATATCACTGTATATCTGTCAAATGTCTTTCCTCTAACTTTGTAGAATACTAATAATGCAATAATTTCATAATTCTGTGTATATGACTTGTTACATTTTTTTGTTCCAGGTTTTCCTGGTTTGAAGTGCAGTAGTGTAACATTCATGCTATTTTCATTTAATTTAATGTATTGTTCTATTTGTGTAATACATGATTTGTGCATTGTGTGTTTTCGTTAGCAATAAGATGTAGTAATTTGTTTCTTTTTTTTATTTGTATTTATACACTGCAATTTGTTTAGATTTGACTTTGTTACTTGTTATTTTTGTACAGATTTTTGTATGTACCCAGTTAAAATGTTATGATTATTTACTTGTGTTGTTCCAAATAAAACTGCATACATACATGGTTTTTGGGGTTTTTTGGATAAACACTGACAGTAATGTCATGCGTAAATCTTCACATTAACAATGAACACTCAAAAATAGCTAATTTGTTCATTCAACAAAACTATGACACATATTTGCACACATGTGTATCTGATCTAACACTGAGTGAACTGTAATGACAAGTCAAGGGTTGACTGAGATCACATCAGTTTCATCCATTTTGTAAGGTAAAATAACCACAAAATGCATGGTAACTTATCGATCTTCCTCTGTGTATTCTATTCTGATCAGGCACAGAAGTGGCAGCCGTGGCCTTGAGAGGCACTTCTCAATAAGGCGGAGGAACGTGATATATATTCAATTTCAAACACTAAGACACCATGACAAATTCAGGTGCACCTGAATGCTTACATACTCTGCAGCTGTATTTCGCATATATTGAGAAACTAGGTATGGATTCTTTCAGTGTGACTTCCCCATACTATGACCTGCATACTGAAGAAAACTGCCTGAGAAGAATGCCAAAAATATCTAGGACTGACCATGGAATAAAAAACTGAATCAATTATATGCTGATTAATTAATCAAATTGCAAATAGATTATTTGAACTGGATCTTAGTGCCACATTTGACACTATCGACCACAACATTATTTTGAATAGACTAGAAAATGACCTTGGCATTAGAGGAAGTGCATTGGCATAGTTCAAATCATACTTATCTGACCACCATCAATTCGTGGCGGTGAATGAAGAGGTGTCATACCAATCCCAAGTGCAGTATGTAGTACCTCAAGGCTCAGTACTAGGACCATTACTTCTCACGATTTACATGTTACCCTTGGAAGATATTATTGGGAAACATGGTGTTAGTTTTCACTGTTATACTGATGATACTCAGCTCTATATTTCTTCACGGCCCGACAAAACATACCAATTTGCAAAACTAACGGAAGACATAGTTGATATAAAAAAAATTGATGACTAGTATTTTCTTAATGTTAAATTCTGAAAAAGTAAAAAACAAAACAAAAAAAAAAACAGAGGTGTTAATTATTGGACCAAAAACTTCCACATGTAATAACTTAGAACACTGTCTAATACTTGATGGCTGCTCTGTCAATTCTTCTTCATCAGTTAGGAGCCTAGGTGTGCTATTTGATAGCAAACTTTCCTTTGAAAGTCACGTTTCTAACAAAACCGC